GGCAGGGCAGTGTCCTCTTAAAGCCCAGAATCCCAGGTGAATGTCTGTGCTCAAGAAAATCTCAGAATCTAAATCTGTGCACAAATGGTCTCTCTGCCAGAAATAGGTCACCATAAAAAGGATGGAGTCTTAGAACGATAAGCCAGGCAATTTGGGTTTTAGACTGGCCCAGAACTTGGCCTTCAGCAACATGGGCTGTGCATTGGAATTATTTGCAAAGCTTTAAAGGCATATAGATTCCAAAATCCCACTCTGAATTTTACAAAATCAAAATCTGGAAGGGTGGGACAAGAGAATTTTTAAAGTCCCCATGATATAGTCAGTTTTTTCACTGGTATTTGTAAACTGCACCAAATGCTCTTGAGGTCCTTTCTAACTTTAGCATCCTAGATTTCTTTAAACTTCATTAGGATGACTATGGGATTTCACAGACTAGAAACACAAACATTTATTAGGCAACTAATTTCCACATATATTCAAGATATCCTGGTGCTGTTTAGTACCTAGCACATATGTACCCCTAATGAAAGAGGAACCTGATACAAATTACATTTAACTTTGGTTTCTCACCGAAGTGTCAGGTGAATTAAAGAGATTAAATCCTGATTTGAATAACAACAGTCTTACACGATTGCTAGTTCATGACCAACAGTGCTACAGCACTTTACTTACATAAACTCTTGAATCTCTACAACAATGGGTACAATTCTTAGTCCCATTTTACAGAGCAGGAAGATGATGCCCAGAAAAGTTAAAATTTTCCCAAACTCACATCAGTCCCAAGTGGCAGAGCCAGCATCTTAACTCAGCATGACTATGGGAGTGGTGATTCTGATCACTATATTGTACTAAATCTACCACAGCCATAAGTGGAAGGAAAATAGGGCATCTCAATGGCTGGGATTTAGACTAGTATACAGAAAAACTGGAGGGGAAACCCATCTTTTCTTACCTTTTATTTTCTCTTCTAATTGATACACTTGAACAGACTTTAAAACTTGGAAAAGCCCAGGGCACCTGGATGGCTTAGTTAAGCATCTGACTCTTGATTTCAGCTCAGGTCATGATCTCAGGGATGTGAAATGGAGCCCCACATCAGGCTCCAAGCTAGGTGAAGCTTGCTTAAGATTCTCTCTCTCCCTCTCCCTCTGCCCTTCCCCCTGCTTATGTGCTCATGCTCTCTCTCTCCTCTCTCTCAAATAAATAAGTAAATAAATATTAAAAAAAAACTTGAAAAAGCCTTTGACAATCATAAGGATTTGTCTTAGGGAATAATTTATCATCTGCTAAGAGATAAAGCTGGATCTGACCCTAGTCAGATAATGTTCTAAGTTTGTTCCTGTAGTGAACATTATCTAGAGAGCAATTGGCCATGATCCATGAAGAGGATATCAAGCCAGTTTGGAAAAATCTTCAAAGGGAGTTCACCTCTTCTTTCAAATGCAACCACAGCTATTATTGTGACTGTATATTCATAACTAAATATTTAATATAAGTTCAGAGGACACTCCCTCAAAAATAAGAGATACGAAGATACAACTAAGTTTATGCTTGCAAGCTAGTGAACATCAGCCAATGATACTGGGGTGGGGGCACAAATCCATATTCTTTTCCTTTCAAAGTTAAAAGCATTTATTCTGCTCATTAATATCAGTCAGTAAACATTTGGAGAATGCCATCCAATGTCTCAGATAATAAACTACCTCAATACAGGGGCGCCTGGGTGGCTCAGTCATTAAGCATCTGCCTTCAGCTCAGGTCATGATCCCAGGGTCTTGGGATTGAGCCCCGCATCAGGCTCCCTGCTCCGTGGGAAGCCTGCTTCTCCCTCTCCCACTCCCCCTGCTTGTGTTCCCTCTCTCACTGTCTCTCTCTCTGTCAAATAAATTAAAAAAATAAAATAAAATAAACTACCTCAATACAGCCTCAACCCAGCTACTCAGCATCTTTCTACTCTTGACATAGTATGGAAGAGATTTTGTGGTACAACCCTTTTTATTTTTGTAAGGCTCTTACACTCACAAGTTACTTTGGAGTACCCTAACAACAGAATAACTTTGCCCAAATTAAGACTTCACTTCTTTCCAATGTTAATATAAAAGGAGTGTTTTACAGGAGTAAAGGAGTACTTTTACCATGAGCAAATGAAGTGATGGTAGTTTCAAGGTTATAAGACCTCATCGTGTTGGAGGTCTGAATTAAAGGAAATAAAAATGGGATAGCCTGACATACATGGGAATAAATGTGAGGAATTCAAATAGTCGTAATATAGTACTGCATCAAGGAGTATCATGGGTGAAATTTGTAAGATGTCATTTTCAAACACACAAACCATACGGAAAGAGAACATCAAAGTGTTCATATAGAATAGAAACAATTCATGTGGTTCCTGATCTCAAAAATCTGGCAATCAAGATAGAAAAAAAAAATGAAGTCAAAAGAAATATGCAAGTTCAAAAATTGCATAGGCAAATAAAAGGAACTTTTGAATCCAGCTGGTTAACTAGACATAATTTAATTTTAAAGGGCAAGTAGCCTAAGGATAAACACCACTACTATGACCATAAGACTTACAACCATGTGGCCATGGCATTGGGTAGCCTAAATTAGCAAGGCTTCATGCATCTGAGTTGGTTTAACCATTTCAGATTCAGAACACAGTCCAGGAAGGAGCTCACCCTTAGCTCAGCTGTGTGCAACTCAGCAATCATGTTGTGACCTTACTCCCTTCTGGATATTTAGCACCAATCAAAGATATATAATCAAATGCAGTTTTTCTACTGTGTTTAGCAGTAAAGGGGGATGGAGTCTTATTAACTCTACAATTTAGAGAATCCATTGGTAATGACAGAATGAAACAACAAATATTGCCACAGATATTAAACGGGAAAATTACTGTATTTTTATTTTCTGTTTCCAGTGGTCTGCTACTAAATCCACCTGCACAAGTTAGGCTGCGTAAGAACACACTAGGATTCTTTATTGCTGAATCTACAAAGGAAGTCATAAGGTAATTTTTTTTATTACTTTATGTGGAGAAAGTCCTAAAGCAAATGCAACTTAATGGCAGACAAAGTGAGTCAGCACCATGCTTCCTTAGTGTTAAGCCTCATATAAGTCATTCTTGATTTGCTTTTATTGTCCAGAGCCTCCTTTTACTGTGCCACCTGTCACAGTGATATCTTTGCTCCTGAGCTAATTGAAAAATGTAGCTGCAAAGCCAAGATCCATCGACACTTCCCAGGTAACTGCACTTAATATCTGGTTGCCCTCAGCCCAGCTTCTTGGGGCATGGCCAAAGAAAGAGGAGAAGTTCTATCTCTTAAAAGATAATACCCATTTGAACTTGGCCAAGAAGTGGCAGATATTTCCCCAAACTGGGCATACAAGACCTGAGAATCAGTCTTTTAGAGCTGGAAGAAATCTTGCTAGGTATCTAGTTAGACTTCTTCACAGGCCAAGCAAATGACTACTAAAAGAGATTCAGTGATGTTCAAAGTCAAGAGCCAATTGCAGGCAACCCCGAACTCAATACCAGACCTGCTAACGTTCAGCCCGTTGCTTTTCACTCCATCACAGTGGTCTTCCCATCTTCAGTCTCAAAGGTCAACCTGTATCTGACTGCTTGGTTGGTCACAAAGCTACCTCATGTCCACTTTAAAAAAAAAAATATTTTATTGAGCTATGTTTATGTGACAATATTGGTAAATTTAAGGTGTGCTATATATTGATTTGATATATTTATCTTGCAGTATGGTTCCCACTCTAGTGTTAGGTAACACTTCTATTTTGTCACATAATTATCATTTCTCCTACTGTTGGGAACAGTACCATTCCTTGAGTACTCTGTCTACTGAATGGATTGTAGGGGATTTAAAGTTTACTCATTCTGACACAGTGATGAGGAAATATAATTTTTTCTCTTGTCTCTAATTGAACTCAATAGCTTACCAACAACCCTACCCTATAACAGCAAAAGAGAAATTATCTCAAGCACTCATGATAACTTCTTCCCCTAGAGTTTAAAACTTAGTCTCTTCCAAGTACTTTAAGATTCTGTGGGTAAAATCCTAGTGTTTCAGCATTTAAATTTAATTCAAAATTTGAATTTCCTATCAGGACTATTCTTAACTCCAAGGTACTTATCCTTTTCTTCTTCCCAGTATTATATTTAAATGTAGGAGTAAATTTGCTCAACATCATGGTTGTTGGGTTTTTGTTTGTGGTTTTTTTTTTTGAGAGATAGAGAGCAAGCATGAGAGGAGGGTTGGGAGAGGGGGAGAGGGAGAGGGAGAGAGAGAATCTTAAGCAGACTCCACACCCAGTGCAGAGCCCCAGTTGGGGTTTGATCTGCCAACCCTGAGATCATGACCTGAGTCTAAATCAAGAGTTGGACACTTAACTGACTGAACCACCCAGGCACCCCCATGCTTGTTCTTATAGTTGACAGCAAGATACCCTTTCATACAAGTCCTTCCTGGTTCCTGAGGTACCTCATTCCCTTGGTAAGTGTCAGTTTCTGTGACCTCTCCATCAGTAAACAGTATCAGTTCTTCCTGGCTTTGAGTCACCATCTGTCACTTGTTACTGAAATCCATCATCCCTGCCCTACATAGCCTCTGGTTTTGAGATCTGCAAAGCCCCTTTTCCTGTACTCCTGGTCTTTAATTCCATATGTTCTTTTGGCCTCTCAGCTGTTTCGGAATTTTCAGTCTCCTGGAGTACATATATGCATGTCAGAAGGTGGGAGCCCTCTCAGGCCTTCTCTCTGCTTAAGCCCACTTGCTGCCTTGTCTCCTCCTCCATAGTCATCTTGCATTGTTACCAAATACTCTTCTAAGCATATGAAAATCCATATGAAAATGGAAAACACATCTCTCATTTTTCCCCCTTGCACACCACTAAAGCTATCATATTTTTCTTGTCCAGCCACCCCTCACCAACCTGAAACACAAGTTGTGTGTGTGTTGGGTATGGGGGGAGTGGACTGGGTCCTTTCTGAGGGATCCTGGCTCTAACATTTTTATATTTCAATAGCCTTATTGAGATATAATTTAAATACTATGAAATAAATACTTTTAAAGCATACAATTCAGTGGATTTTAGTGAGCAAACAGATTTGTGCAACCAGGACTACAATTTTAGAACATTTTCCATAACTCAGAAAGGAACTCCATACCCAGTAGTGGTTATTCCCCACTCTCTTCTGCCCACATCCCTGGCAACCAATAGTCTACTTTCTGTGTCTATAGATTTGCCTGTTTTGGCCATTTCATGAAATGGGAATCATACAGCATGAGGCTTCTTGTGTCTGGCACCCTTAACTTAGCCATGTTGTAGCATGTATCAATACCTCATTTCTTTTTATGGCTGAACAGTATTACATTGTATGGATATACTTCATTTTGTTTATTCATTCCTCTGTTGATGGACATTTGAATTGTTTCCACTATTGGTGCTCAGATATCTGTTTGCGTTCCTGCTTGCAATTTTTTTTTGTATATACCCAAAGTAGAATTGCTAAATCAGATATTAATTCTATGTTTAATTCTTTGAGAAACTGCCATACTGTTTTCCATAGCAGCTACATTGTTTCACATTCACATCAGCAATACACAAGAGTTCCAATTTCTCCACATCCTTTTTTTAAAATAATTTTTCTTTTTTTTTTAAATAATAGTCATCCTAATGGGTGTAAATTGGTATCTTATTGTGGTTTTAGCTTGAATTGTCCTAATCGCTAATGAGGTTGAGCATCTTTTTATGAGGATATTATTGGCCATTTGTATGTCTTCCGAAATGTCTATTCAGATCCTTTACCCATTTTTAAATTGGGTTGTTGTCTTTTATTACTGAGTTGTATACAGTCTTTATATATTCTAAATACATGTCCCTTATCAGATGTATGTTCTGCCAATGTTTTCTCCCATTTTATGGTTTGTCTTCTTTTCTTCATACAATTTGAGGTACAAAAATTTAAATTTTGATGAAGTCTAGTGATGTATTTTATCTTTTGTTGCTTGTGTTTTTGTGGAATAGCTAACCTGAGGTCCCAAAGATTTACTCCAATATTTTTTTCTAAGAATTTTATGTTTTTAGTTCTTACGTGGAGGTCAGTGATCCATTTTGAGTTGATTTTTATGTTTATTATGAGGAAAGGCTCCAACTTCATTTTTTTCAATGTGAATATTCAGTTGTCCCAGTACCATTTTTTTCAAAAAACTTCCCCATTGAACTGTTTTTGGTAAACTTGTCAAAAAACAATGGACTGCAAATGTGTGGGTTTATTTCTGAGTCTCAGTTTTATTTCTTTGATCTGTATGTCTAGCTTTGTGTCAGTACCACACTGACTTAACTACCATAGTTTTGTATTAAGTCTTGAAATTTAGAAATATGAGTGCTCCAAGTTTATTATTCTTTTCCAAGATTGTTTTGATTATTCTGGGTCCCTGCATTTCCTTATGAATTTTAGGATAAATATGCCAATTTCTGCAAATAAGCCACCTGGGATTTTGACTAGCATTGTGTTGAGTCTGTAGGTCAGTTTTGGAAATATTGCTATTAAAATAGTGAGTCTTCTGACCCATGAACATGTGGTGTCTTTATATCTATTTATATCTGTAATTTCCTTCAATGGTATTTTATAATTTTCAGATAATAGGTTTTATACTACTTGTGTTCAATTAATTCCTAAGTATTTTTTCTTTTTAGTGCTATTGTAAATACAATTGTTTTCCTTTTTTAAGATTTTATTTATTTCTTTATTTTAGAGAGAGAGCAAGAACATGAGCAGGGCAGAGGGGGGAGGGTGTGGCACAAAGGGAGACTCCACGCTAAGCACAGAGCCCTACATGAGGCTCAGTCTCATAACCCTGAAATCATGACCTGAGCTGAAACCAAGAGTTGAACACTTAACCAACTGAGCCACTCAGGTGCACCTGAAATTGTTTTCTTGGTTCTGTTTGCAGATGATTCATTGTTAGGGTATAGAAATACAGTTGATTTTTGTGTATTGATCTTGTGTTCTGCAACCTTACTGAACTTGTTTTATTAGCCCCAATACCTTTTTTATGGCCTTTTACTTATTTTCTTGCCTAATATCTGCTCATTCATTTATGATTCTAATAATATGAGTATTTCCTCATTTTTGTAGCCAGTCTTGCCAAAAATGCTTGTCAATTTTGTTGGGTTTTTCAAAGAACCAATTTTAATTTATCTTTATCTACTATTGTTCAATCTTTTAATTAAATTATATATACTCTAATTTTTATTATTTCCTTCTTTCAGCTTGATATGGGTTAATTTTCTCTTCTCAATGTCTTAACATGAAAGGTTAGATTAAGTCATGTGATTTTAGATCTTTTTTTTCTTTTTTAATAAATAAAGGCATTAATATCAATAAAATTTCCTCTAAGTATTCTTTAGGGGCATGTCATATTTTTGATGAGTTGTGTTTGCATTTTCACATTCATCTAAAAGTATTTTATAATTTCACTTGTGATTTGTACAGGGAGGACCCATTGGTTATTTAGGCATGTGTTCTTTTTATTTCCACATATTTATGAATTTCCCCAATTCCTTTGTTACTGATTTTTCATTTCATTTTGTTGTAGTTGAAGAGCATACTTTGTATGATTTAAATTCCCTTAAATTTATTCATACTTATTTTATGGACTATTATATGATCTATCCTGGAAAATATTCAATGTATAGTTGAGAAGACTATGTATTCTTCTGTCACTGAGTAGAATGTTATATAGATGTTTGTTAGGTCTAGTTGGTTTATAGGGTTTTTTTAAGTCTTATATTTCTTTGCTGATCCTTGCTGATAGAACAATGGATAGTTGTTCTATCTGATATTGAAAGTGAGGTATTAAAGTTCCAGTTATTATTGTTGAATTGTCTGTTTCCCCATTTAAATATGTTAGTTTTATGAATCAGGTATTTTGAATTTCTACTGTTATGTGCCTATGAGTCTGTTATATCTTAGTGGTAGATTAATCATTTTATCTTTATAAAATGTCTTTGTCTTTAGTAAATATTTGTCTTAAATTTTATTTTGTATGAAATTAGCATAACCACTCCAGCCCTCTTTTGGTTACCATTTGCATGAAATATCTTTTTTCATCCTTTTTCTTTCAATCTATTAGTGTCTTTGAATCTAAAGTATGTATCTTGCATGCAGCATACAGTTGGATCATGTTTTTTTTTTCTCCATTCTACCAATCCCTGCTTCTTTATTTT